GACCATGGGCACCCACAATGTTTTTTCACTAGAATGCAGTCTATTCTCAGGGGGTCTATGTAGGAGTGCCATGAAAATTTACTCCAATATTTACTTAATGATATGTACTAATGATGCTTTTTTTTTTTTTTTTTTTTGAGACAAGATCTCACTATGTAGCACCAGGCTGACCTTGAACTCAAGGCTCAGCTTCCCTTTGGCTGGGATTACAGGTGTGCACCACCACGCCCCCCAATGACGCTTCTCCTGGAGGTCTCTAAATATCTCGTGTATATTTCTCAGCAATCCTCAAGGCAAACAATTTCATTCTCAGTACCAGAAGGGAGATTAAGTAACTAAGGTTACATAGCTAAGAAACAGAAGCACTGGCCCTAGAATTGGAAACACATCTGCTTCAAGCTAACACCTGTGTTCTTCCCTCCTATGTAACATTGCCACAAACTCCATAGTCATATCCTATTAGAGACATCTTTTTTCCATCTACTTTCTACTGTTAATTCCAGTTTTAAAACTTGCTTCAAATTCTCTGATATCACTGCAGATGTAATTCTGCATGGTTATCAGTGACTGTGAAGCCTTTGAGTTTGGAAAGAAAAGAAAAAAGAAAGAGATGGATGTTTTAGGAACACAATCTGAAATGTGAGTCGTAAAACTTTAGAGAGATTATTATAAATTTTTGGATCCAAGTTATTTGTCTTAAAGCTCATGATTTTAAAAAAAATCAATAAATAAACAACTGTTCTCCTGATATTATCTCCACATTCCCAATTTCTTTAGTAAAATCAGAAGCAAGATCATGGGTTAAAATCTCTCTCACTGGGGCTGGGGATTTAGCTCAGCGGCATAAGCGCCTGCCTTGCAAGCAGGCAGTCGTGAGTTCGATCCCCGGTACCAATAAAAAGGAAAAAGACAAAAAAAAAAAAAAAAAAAAAAAAAAAACTCTCTCACTTGTATAGGAAAAGATTTGATTCAGTTCTCATCTGGTTCGGAGTGTGACAAGAATCATGAAAAGAACTGAGTTCCTGAATGAAGGTATCACTGTACAAGACATTGGAAATCTCAAAATAAATATCAGATTTTCATATCATTTTTTTCTAGTAAGCTAACAGTTATGCACTTACAAATTGTAGCAGTCAGCTCACCATGACTTTTTACTCCATTTGTCCTGAAAGCTTTAATGCTTTTCTAAATCATATCAACTTTTTTTAAAAAGTATCAAAACTTTAGATAAGCAAACCAGCGATACCTTTTTGAAACATTCATTACTAAAAATAACCTCATCCACTCTAGAATATGAAACTAGATTGACACCAAAAAGTAATTAACTTTAAAAAAAAAAAAAGACAATGTGGACCAGAAATTCGGTGTGGAAGATTTTACAATGTGTATGTTCCTGTATTCATGCATTCCATAAGCTATGCATGTCCTGTATGCCAAGCAGAAGTTCTAGGGTCCGACACAGATAAAAAGACTCAGCCCAAAGTCATTCATTTCTATTTTATTTCTTCTATTATGCCAATAAGAAAGTATACCAGATTCATTCTTCTTAACTGGGTTCAAATAACAAACATTTCTCAAGTTCCACCTTAAAGTTCAAAAATGAATTCTTAATGTCATAATAGGATCACCGATTTTATTTTTGCTTTTATTTACCAGTATTTTGTCTACACACATTTATCATCCCTGGGAGTAAGTACCATAAAGTCCTGATTTAGGCAAAATGACTCACTGAATTTTCAGCTCTATTGAAAACTGAGAAACAAAGTTTGAGAACTCTGCCTTTCTTCTTCTCATCAAGTTACCAGAGGATAATTCAGGTGAGGCCAGAAATTTCAACCCTTTTGTGAGTCAGGGAGCACTTGGAAAATCTGATGAAACACAGACATGCACACATGTGAAAAATTTTAAATTAATTTTGGGAGGAGCCCCTGATATTTATAAAGGCCTTTCCATAGACGTTAAGACCATGGCTATACTCACTGACTTTGGAGCTTGAATTTATTTCATTCAATTTGGTATTCTCTGTCCCAGAATAGAGTTTAGACAGTATCTGTTGCAGAAGTGAAATCTGATTTTATGGAGCCCCCTTCTTAACCTGCCCTCTTCCCATGATTTTTCCAATGCAAAAAATTATTTTCCAAATTCTACTTTCATAATTTTCTTTTTTCCGCCTCACCAAAGAAAGTTATTGCTTCTATTTCCCAAATACTAAAATGGAGCAATCACCTGAGGATCAAAACGACCAGGCCACCAAAGAATGATTGCCAAAATACCTTCTGAGGGAGTATCGCCTGGGGAAAAAGACAAGGACACCTCTAGAAGAAACAGAAAGAACTGTGCTCTGTCTTATCCAAGGGACAAATTCTTAACAATTCCCTACACCTTATTTACATGTTGAATAATTTCATGTCAAGTGAGATAATTACATTGGGTGACACTGTAACACGTATTTAAATTTTAAAAGGCAGTCTTGTCTGATGGAAGTTATCTTAATAAATGAATGTGATTAAGAGCACTGACTTTGACATGAGGACATGTAACATCAAAGGAGCTAAATCCACTCTTGTGAGATTCTGACAATAGGACATAAAGCATATGCACAACCCATGACACGCTATAAATTTATTCTTGGCAACAATTTATCCTTATGCCAAAACTTGAGATAATTTGAAAAGAAGCAAGGAAATGATGAATTTAAAAATATTTTGAAGGCTATTTGAATAAGCATGTTTGAAGTCCAGTGATACAGAGGTTGTATGTTGAATTAATCCTTCCTGCGGCTCTCCTCTCACAAAATCCAGCAAAGGAAGGAAAGAGACCGCACTAGGTTTCTTCATTAACAGACTGATGCCAATTAGAGCAACCTCTTTCGGCTGGACAATTAAAACACAGACGGCTCATTTCTACCTAGGAGGATTGTCGTGAGGGTAGAGTACCGAAATGTAAATAAAGGACACGGAAGGTGACATAAAAAATGTTAACTATTTATCAGTGTTGCTAATAGATTTTGTTTATTCATGCTTTTTTTCCTCTTTATACTGAATCTATGTTGTTATCAAGAGGTTTACTTTCCTATTCCATATTTAATGTTTGACCCTGTCTTCCTCCTGTTTATTTATAATTTTCCCTCAAAAACATAACTGCTGAAAAAACCCCACAATTGCTCCCTCTTTCTCTCTGCCTTTTCCTCTCTACCTCTCAGTCACCTTGCATTAGTGTTCTTTTCCACCATTCTCTTTAAATTTTACCCATAACTCCACACATTCATGTAAAAAACAAACCAAAAAAACAGGATCTTCTCCTGAACGTAACATGCTCAAAGTTTCATCCTATTCCACCAGAATTTATATTCTTTCCTAAAAGTTATTTTATTCCCAATTCAAAAATAATAGTTAAAGTAGTTAACTATGGTTACACCAAATGTTACTTTCGGGAAAACTGTGTAAAGGGTTCGTGGAACTTTTTTTCATTTTAGGGGCAAAAAAATGTCCTGTGAATCTGTAAGTATTAAAAACTAAAAATTCCCCAGTTAATCACAGAAGAATAATTTGTTTTATCCTCTTCCTTGTACTTTTTTATTTCTCAGAGAACATATATTTTCTTTTAAAAATAATACATTCAAATTGTATCAATAAAATTAATTCTTAAAGATAAAAATAATGCATTCACATAGATTACATTTGTTAAATATGAAACATTAAATTATAAATGCACTATGGAACATCACATAATATTTTTAATGAGACTGTCATGGGGCAAAGAGCATTGTCCCCAGAAAGACTTTTAATAAAAGAAGTTATAAAAGGCTAACAAATTTCATTGCGTAAAAATTTTTAAACAATACAACCTAAGTTTAAATCAATATGACAAAATGAAATCAAACATTTGCTATATATAATAAGCAAACCCTTAGCATCTATACTTACATATCAATAGGAAAATATTTTCTAAAGATGGAAGCAAAGCAAGAAAAAGTACAGGCAATTCAAAGAAGAAACAGTCAATACCAACTAATTGCATTTTTTATGCAGAAAAAATACAAATTAAGTTTAAAAAGTGTCATTTTTCACTCAAACACAATGACAAAATTTAAGAGATTAACAATAAGTATACATTTGTGTTTTCGATGTAGCATAACAGTCTTATCCATTACTGAAAGAAAATGGTATATTTGGAGAGTATTCTGCAAAATTAAAAATCATTTGATTACAGTTTGAGGTACCTACTTTATGAGAATACTTACTTATGAACCAAAACAAGAATAAATGCATGTGCTGTCCACTTGACAAGGCTTTCAGATAGCAAATAAGTGGGCCCAGAACATCTGGATATCTCACTCCTCAGCACTAGGTACACAGGAAGATCTCAAGGGCAATGTCTGATTCTTCTTTCCTCACAAATGGACTCATTCTATACAATACACAGTCCTTAGGACTGAGATGGGTTTCCTCAGGGGGACTGACCCTTAGGAGCTCCCCTAGCAGCTGCAGAGATTTATGGGATTGATGCTGAACAAGAAATTCCATTAGCTTTTCCAAACTGGATAGACGTAGCATAATGTAACTTAATACTATTACATGATCACCATAATCGTGTACATTCTGACACTACTATTACTTCAAAGCACATTGATGCAGGAGATTGACCCTTTATTTTGTTTTATTAATTCAGTTCATAGGTGGCAATCAATAAATTGGGACTGAAGCCAAAAACTGAAAGTAGTTGTAACAAGTAAGTGTGTTGTTCGTTTGAGCAAAATCACTGATCTTCGTGCTGGGTCTACTGTCTGCAACAGTCAGAAACAGAGTACCAGATGTACTGTTTGGATTCCCATAATCCTGCCTTATTTATTTACGATTCCTTCTTTCCTCCTTCCTCCTGTACAGATGCTTTTCCTCTTTGTTTTCTAAACTCAGTCATGTTCACTGCCTTTAAGATGCTATAGCACTTCAAAAACCTTCCCTCTAAGTTCCACACAAACAGAGCTCACCAACTCTTACCTTTGCCGAATTATGCTGGGATTAGCTGTCACCAAATGACTTTTGGATCCAACATCTTTAGTGTATTCACTTGACAAAGGAGGAAGGTTGCATCTAAAGACAGAAGAACAAGCATTTCAGAATGACTTAACACTTTTAAATCAAGTCAGCTATCAAGGCATAAATAGGGACTTTAATTCTAGCTCAATTCACAAATAACTGTATTTTACCACCTCTCCCTTTTAATAGACATTAGATGACTAATTAACCATCAGCATCTTTAAAGTGCTGTCAAAAGACTACTCCTGTTTTAGAAGAAAGAAAATGTCAGCTACAGAAGTAAATGATCTACCAAGCAAAAGAGACAGTAACTGGAATGTATTTATTCCATTTAAAATACTTGAGGTGCTAGGCCATGGAGTATTAGGCTTGAAATTAGGACTCAGGAGGTCATGTTCCCTGCATAACCGTAAACCTCAAGAAACACAGGAATTATACTTGCCCATGTTTTCCTTTCCTGTCCCCAAATATAAATCATAATAGTACAATCAGGGCAACACAACGTTCACTTAAATCAGTCCATGTCTGACTATTCTGACCAGTAGACAGTTTGTTTACTACTGAAGATACAATTACATGAAACCAAAGAACCAAAGATGGTGCGAGGATTCTGCACCATCCTGCATCCTCCAAGGAAAAGTTGCTCGTAATGTCTTCCCAGTGAGGCAAACAGCTGTTCACCTGGCTTGTCATTATGAAATGCAACTTACTTCCTGCCACAGAGTACAAGCTCAAGAAAACTTTGCAGATATGGGTGCTCACTACAGGCAAGTATCTAAATGAATGTCTAAAAAATAACAGCAATATGTTTCAGTGTAAATATCTGCCTTAACCCCTTCTAGGTGAACTTTCTTTAAGTGCAAATATCTGAGACAATTTCCTGTATCTCTTTTCTTAGGAAAAGCACACCATACAATTTTAGCTCCTCAGTTCCTAAATTGATAATTACACAAATTTATATAAAAGGCACATGTAATAGAGTCAAATTGTTTCTAATGAAGCATAATTGTGTAAAAGTGTTTCAAACTTTGCATTACTGCTTGTTGGCACAATTAACAGATATTAACAGCTAACGTGTCTTAGTAACGGTGCTCATGATACTGAAAGAGATCTGGCCTCAAAGTGGCAAGAAAGAAATATCCTTTAACTGTAAAGTAGAGTGGATGAGGAATGGGCTTAGTGGAGAAAAAACTTTAAATAGAGAAATCATAAAATTACTTTAAAACATTGTATACATATATTTAAGTACATGAAGCATACAGTTGAGCATAATTCAAAAGACACCCATTTATATCGTCTTCACCGTGATGCTGAGCCCAGAAACAATCACTGCTCTTTCCATCTCACAGGCCTTTCAGATGTACTGAACTCAACAATATTATTTTTCAAAGTGTTGCTTTTTTTTTCCCCTTTGGTCTTTTTCGTTTTTATCGGTACCGGGGATCGACTCACGACTGCCTGCTTGCAAGGCAGGCGCTTATGCCGCTGAGCTAAATCCCCAGCCCTAAAGTGTTGCTTTTGATTCTACAGCAAATATACACTTTGAAAAAGAGGAAATACTAGCATTTTAGAAGATGTATTTGAAAACGTCTACACAAGGAAATTATGCAATTATTATAATCTAGCCCTAAAAGTTTGCGCTGTGATCTGGTATATCTCTCTGCACAGGCAGGTCTGTTTTGGGGTCTCCTTTTCCACTTCTTGTGCCCACATAACCTAGAGTGTAGGATCACACTAGCCATATGCTTCCTAAACACTGTTTGAAAATGTTTCAATATTCTAAATGTGCCGCCTAAGAATGTGTGTTAACCACTTGTGTAAGTAGAACTGTAAGAGGTCAAGTAATAATTTAAAAATAATTTATTGACCTTTATTACTCCCACATTGGCAACCCCATATAAAGCTTGTTAAAATTTCAAATGTGATACAGAAATAATTCAATATTAATCCACAACACATACACATATAGCTTTAGTTACAATGCTATCTTCCTTGAATTCACTTCAGTGCTCACTTTTCTCATCATCCTATGATCGTTATGCTTCATACTGTGTTGGACACTCTAATCACGGATACTCATTAATTCCAAGCTTGGATCTATCAGTAGGATATACGGGGCCAACCGTCTTGTTTATCTGGGATAAATATTGTACTGCTAGGTAATCCCCTATGGTGCTTAGGTCTCATACATGTTAAATTGAAAATACTCATCTTCCTAAGGGAAGACACACACACACACACACACACACACACACACACACACACACGTGTGCACGCACACAGAGTCAGGAATAATAGAGAAAAATATTTATGGTATTGCTTCCTTCTATACCATCTCAAGGCCACTTGAACTCACTTAACTTCTTTGAACCTGTGAGCTTAATCCTACCAATGCTTACTTCCTAACATCAACGTGTGGAAAGAGCTAATAAACGTATGCACAAAAGCAATTTGAAAATTTAAAGTAAGCTGTGTCATTAATGCCACCTTCACAGAACCACAGGTAGAAGCAGAGTTACATAACAGAAAACCCTCTTCCTCAAGCCTATGAGAAGGCTGAGCTCCAGCAAAGGTAACGTAACATACCGCAGGTCACAGACATGACCAAGGGCAAGTGCTTGTCCTCCTAACCTGCAGTGATCCTCGTCTGCTCTGCAGCCTCACCTAAAGCCAACATATTGGAGTAGGTTCCTGAGCAGACCCAAGGCCTAACTCACCCAATCCTGCTCTCTAGGTTATTTCATCCAGTCTTGTGGCTTAAATCTCTATCTACCTCCACCACATAGTACTGTATTTTTCAGGACACTGCAACAGGCTCTGTTGCACATTACAGTATGGAAAAGCCTTTTCCCTAGCAAAAGGGAAAGAAGAGAAGACTCACTCACCCCGACAACGCTTCTACTCAGAAGCTCTTGCTGACCCCCCGCCATCTATGTCTTCGTTGTCCCAAAGCACAACCCCAGGACATAAGCCTACCTCAGAATTGTTCAACATGCCTTCCCAGAAGCCGCCCTAAAGCCCTATAATATGCAAAGTGCACAGTAAACTGCATTGCATTGATTTAAATTAAGAAAATTATTTTCTTTCCCCCATTTTCCTATTGCTTATATATACCGCAGAAGGAAAAAAAATTGGAATAGAGGTGAAAAAGACAGTGCCACACTGGAAAAAAAAAAGACGTTAGGGCACCCAAAGAAGGAAAAGCAGGTAAGGATGTCCCAACTCTGACACAGGCTTCACCAAATGACACTGGGTCTTTCCAGGAGCCTCCTCTCCTCATGCAGGTTTGGTTCATGGATCTTTTAGCTACTTCAGCCACTTCATTATTTAGCCCTACAAAAAACCCCACAAATGTAAAATCGCCCTGCCCCTTTGCTCAGCTTCCTGCCTTCTGTGTTGCTGGGGCCCTTGGCTCCCTGGTCACAAAGCCCTTTAGCCACTGGCTGGTGGTCCTTCCAACTTCACTGGAACTTTAGGGTCTGAGCTGAAAAACCTCCACAGAGTCTAATCTCCTGGACTTTCTCGGTGTTGAATATCCTGTTTTCCTACAACTTGTCTAATCATTCCCTGGATAAGCCAACCTCTGAAGTCTTGCACTCCAGTGGGCCACTCTTGGGTTTTTCTTCTCCATCCATGTCTCCCTCCTCTTTACCCCCTGAGCTCTGGGCACCCCCACAGGCTGACCCCCTCCCTTTCTCCTCTGCACAGTGCAGAGCCCAGTCCTTTCCCTGTCTCACATGCAGGCTTGTCTCTGACTTCTCACGCTGTCCAGGCCAGCTCTGCAGGCTGTCACCCCTGTCCTCCTCCCCTCTCATCTAATCTCAAACCTGCGCCAAGGCAATCCCTGGCTCTTTGCTCCCACACCAGACTGCTGAGTGCTGTGCTTAAAATCACCAACAGTGCCTCCCTACCCACACCATCAGCATGTCCTCATCACAACCCTGCAGGGGCCTCCACCTCTTCTAGGATCTGATGTCACCACTCTGCTCAGGCCCCTGCCCATGGTCTCCCTTTGTTTGAAACTTACTCCTCCTCCTCTTCCCCATTTTCCTAGTCAGGCACACAGGGAATCCCTTCAAATCCTACTCTGCTACTTTGAGATGCTTCTGTGAAAAACCAGGAAGACAAGGGTAAAGAATAAAATGAACACATTCGAGTGTTTATTCGTATGGAACTAGCCTTAGATAGAGCAATTTAGGAAGTTTCCAGCACCAGATTGTAACATCTCAAAGGAGGTCAAAGAAGGGGCATTTCTGTTTTCTTGGCTGTCCTGCTTAAGGGTCAGAGTGGGGACCTCTGTAGCCATGGGCTCTGGTGGCTTTGTATCTCATCCAGGCACTTTCCCTGGCTCCCCTTAGCACTCTCATGAACTCCATTGTGTAGGAGCTAGAGGGAAACTAAAGAGTGTGCTTCAGCTGATTAATGACAAATGACTAATTCTGAAAGGCCCTGGGCTCCTGGGAGGGGCGGGGACAGGAGAGAAGGCAGAGGCCGCGCTGTGGTGCTCTCTCTTACCGCATGACAAAATTTGCTGCATCTATTTGCCGGCCACAGCCACTCTTCTTCAGAATCCCACCATTTCCCACCACCGCGCATTTCTTCAATGGCAGCTGGAAGGGGGTTGCCTAGCAACAGAAAACAAGGCGGGTTTTCACTGCAAAGAACACACAACCCCACAAAAAGCATTGTTTACAGCAGAACCTTTGGAGGAAGCTGATTGAAGGCTGGGCCAGGCAAGAAGACCATGTGGAAAGAAAGATGCCAAGAGGTCAGTAAGGAGTACACTAGCCTGTTCCTTTGAAATTAAAAAGGCAAAACAAAAAACTCTCCTGAAGAGTATTTAAATATAATCTTTTCTGTCTTTGTCAAATTGGCCAAACACATAGTAGAGTGCATTTGCTAGGGGAAACAAACAAACAAACAAAAATCCAAACTAAGCCCAGAATTATTCTTAAAGATAATACACTAGAAACAAACTCAAAGGAATTCTATCTAGTTGCCTATTTGATTACAATTTCATTCATTCGTACTGTCAGTCACCTACGGCACGGAGGTTTCGGGGCATTTTCTATGCTGCTGAGGACATGTGCAAGGACACAGAAGTCACAGTCGCAGGAACCACAGCTTAGATGCAAGGGGAAGAGGAATGATAACTGCTGAAATGCTGAAGTTCTACAGAAGTGAGCACCTCTTGCTCAGGGGACGCGCCAGGAGGAGCAGGAAGGAACCTCTGCAGCTAAACAGGGAAAGCTTTCTCACTTGAGATGAGCCTGGAAGAAATAGGATACTGCCAGGAGGAGAAGGCAGCACAAACAAAGGCACGAAAGGCTTTGCTGAGGGCAAATGCTGTGTTTAGGAGCAAATGAGCACTTTGCCAGATGGTTCTGTCTAGAAGTTGGGCGTCATTTAGGGGCAAGTGACTTGAGTTGAACCAGACAGCATGTGAGTCTCTCTCTCTGCGAACAATAAGCTGGACTGCAAGGAAAATGTTCAGTGTCCCTGAGTGTGCCCTGGAGAGCTATTTATAGCACCAGGGAATATGGAAACCCAGCACTAGCACCTGGAAGCATAATGCATCATTTGGCCTCTTCTAGCAAGAACTGCCAGCTACAGAATTTCCTGCCTGCTGAAGCCAAGCCTAGCCATTGGGGTTCTTAGAGGAAGACCTTACATATATGTAAATGGTTCAGAAAATAACAGCATTGATACTAAATAGGCTGTCTTGGATGAATCTCAAGCAAACAATCTCAACTATACAAATGAGTAAATGGAACTGATACATGGATATCATGAGGTCTTCATAAAAATATCAAGTATTTAAATAAGTAAAAATATTTCATTCATTGGTAGTGGAGGTGAGCACTTAGTGCAGTTCAGAAGATTTTATTCCCTTGATTTCTACTATGTAAAAGAAGTAGCCAAAGCTATGGAAATTTTCTTGATAAAGATACAGTACTTAAAGTGTAAGCACCTGCAAACAGAGCATCAGGAATTCCCTGTATTACTAGAGCTGAGATAGTCAGCTCTGCAGGGCAAAATTAACAGAAGAGGGAAAACCCACCAATAGCATTCTAACAGATCTGGAATGGATGCATGGTGTTTTTATCAGTTGCCCCTGAGAATGAGTTTGGGATCAACAGCAGAAAAACATGAGTTAGATCAATAATTTGCTGGAGAATATTTAACTGTGTATCTTCAAGTTGTTTGAATATAGTTGTTTGCTTATTCCATAAATACTTAGCGTCTGCTATGTGTCAGGCACTGTCCTGGGTGATAAGGACACAAGTGAAAATCACTGTTGCCTTGGAGATTATAGTCTATGGGAGAGACAGATAAGAAATAAAGATACATGAGTGCACTGGTTAGCTTTCCTCCCTGAGACCAAACACATGATGGCCATAGCTTAAAAAGAGCTCTCTTTAAGAGCTCAGTTTCGGGGGTTGAAAGTTCATGGTAGGCTTGCTTCCAGAAAGAAACATGGCGGAAGGGCATGGGGAGGTAAAGCTGCTCAACTTACGGCATCTGGAAAGCAAAGTGCGGGTTCGGGGGGAGCCAGAAAGCAATGGACCAAGGTCACAAACCTGTGGCCCACCCAGACATATCAGAAATGTGCTTTATTAATCCCCTAGGTGACAAACCAGTTAAATGGACAGTCAAGATCAGCCATCACAATACGGGCCATGGAGCAGGTCAAAAGATGCTTCCAGAAAGGAACTGCAATTTGAATAGGATGTTAAGGGAAGAATTCTTAGGCTGCAAGTGAACGTACCCCAGAAGGAGACAAGGAAGCGAGCCATTCAGATACCTGTGGAAACAACTGGTGCACAGACCTGGAGACTCGAACATTTCCTCCATGGGAAGAGAGAGCAGATAGCCTGTGGTGTCTGAAAATGAGTCAACAAGGGAGAAGAAGAAGTCCGTAGACTGGAAACAAACTTTGCAGGATTTTTTAAGGCACGGGGAATGTTGGGAGCCGCGGCCGAGCCCGGTCGCCTTACTTGGCGGACGTGAGGCCTGTAGGAAAGAGCAAAGCCTGAGCTAGATTACCCCTCCCATCGAGTGTGCTAAGATGGCGCTTATCTCCTGCTTGGTAAACAACCCGCCCTGTAAGATCTCCTGCTTCCTGCTTGGTAAACAACCCGCCCTGTAAGATCTCCTGCTTCACAACCCGCCCTGTAAGATAGTCTGCCTAGTAACAACTGAACCCTATAAAAGTGAGTGCCTCTCCCGCCAAAGAAAGAAGAAGCAAAAGAAGCAGAAGAAGCACGCAAGGAGCCGCGGAGAGCGGACCGGTAGAGGCTTCGGGACAGACTGTAGGGAGAAGCACGCAAGGAGCCGCGGGGAGCGGACCAGAGGAGGCTTCGGCTGGGAGCGATCCCAGGGCAGGCTGTACGGAGAGAAAATAAAAGAAAAGGTTGTCCACTGCCAGACTTTGTCGTGTGTCCTTCCTGCCGGCCGGGAGCGACATCGACAGGGGAAAACTTCAGTTTTTATTGTACAATGAGAATCTCATCAAGCCGGGGGGTGGGGGATATGAAAAGCAGTGACATTACGGCATATGCTGGACTAATCACTGTGTTACTGTGCAAAGTGGCTGTAGGACGTCATGAACAGAAAAAGAAACCAGCGAGGAGTCTCTTTACTAATCCAGGTTGGGAATTTTGGTAACTTGGATCAGTAGGAGTGGGCATGTTTGAGGATGTGATTTGAAACTCAGTTTTAATGACAAGTTAAGCCTTAACATCAAGTGCGTAATGGCCATTTAGACGCACAAGTAGCAAAGTTAGGGGCTGGGGATTTAGCTCAGCGGCATAAGCGCCTGCTTGCAAGCAGTCAGTCGTGAGTTCAATCCCTGGTACAGATAAAAATGAAAAAAACAAAAAAAAAAACAAAACAAAACAAAAAAAACAAACAAAGTTAAGTTAGGCAAATGAGCAAGCATCAGGGAACCCGTCTTTCCTGGACAGAGAAAGTTGAAAGTGGTCAGCTTAACTATTAAAAGTCAAGAGATTGGCGGGAGAGTGAATGCAGACAGAAAAGAGATGTAAGAAAGACTAAAATTGAAAACAAAGTGAAGAAGGAAGGAAAATTTGCATCAAATGCTGTTGATAAATTATGTACAACAGCTTAAAATTGCCCCTGGACTTAGCAACACAGGAGCTGCTGGCAACCTTAACAAGGATTTGGCTTCGTAGTAAGGACAAAAGCCTGATCTGAGTTCACAGAGTTAAACATATAGCATATAATGGTTTATTTGAAAATGTAGATTCATGTGTCCTCAGCTAATATTTATTTTGATTTGTAAAAACTAACTTAAAACTTCTGTAATTGTTCAAGAGAGGTCTTTTTAAATCTCACATAGTGTCGATTCCAGGTTTGTTTGCTTGTTTTTTAAGTTTAGTGGTACAATTTAGGTATGCATAATGATCACATTAACTATAGGGAATTTGCATCTGTACATGATATACACTGATTTCCTCTTTTGTTTTTCCCATTCCTGTTCCCTCCTTGCAAACTTCTTTGCCCTCCCTGCTCACAAAGGGTTCCGCGTTTTGAGGCAGGACTAGAACAGGCAGAGCTGGGAAGCAATGACACAGCCTGGGACTCCATAGGACCGTTAGAGTTGGGGCAGCTATAGCACTCCCCTGAGTTTGGCTTCCCATTTTCAAAGGGGGACATTATCACACAGGTGCCTGTGAGATGACACATACAAAGCCACCCACAGGCTGGGCTCCTCGGATTCTCCTGGCCTCCTTTCATTCCTGCACTTCTTCTAGCAGAAATTCATGGATCTATTCAAGCCATAAAATGCCTAGATAAAACCGTGACTTATCTAGCTGCATCTTAATGATCTGGAATAATTTCATTAGCAGACAATTTGCTATTTTATGCACACCTATTAACATAACCCCAAAAGTCCAGGGATTTAAAAAACATAACAGTCACTTTTGACATCTTTCTGGTAATATTTGGTTGCTCTTTGTCTTCTTCGTTGTGTCAATTGTTAGCACTTGCACAAGCAATTTCATTTCAGTATATATTCTCAAGTTTCTGGGTATACCCTTCTAAGTGATTGGTAATACATCCATGAACAGTAATAGCACCCCATAGCTTTGCAGAGGAAAACAATTAATGGAAGAAATATTATGAATTTTTATTCTAGATAAACATCAGTAACAGATTACCTTGTCATTATTCTCCCTTAGACACAGAATGTACAATTTGGCAATGGTCAATGCTCTCCATAATGATTTAGAACAAGCTATGGTCCTTTATGGATATAGCACGTAGAAGAAATTTTAGCCTCCATTGTCCCATAAACATTATGATTTTGATAGTGTTTTCATTAAAACACTGCATGCTCTCTTTTGAAATATATTTCCTTCTACCCATGCAAGAAAATACCTACTAGATCTGAAACTGTAGTACTGTAACACTCCTGTCAAACTTAAAAAATATTCTAAATGAAAGAGAAGATTAAGGTAGATGAAATAAATTATAGTGATGAGCTCAAAATTTTTTTCAACTCTTGCATAGCTATTAATTCAATTTATAGATTTTCTTTTCCAACTTTTTCTCCCATAATTTTCTTCTGTTAATGGCCAGTTTCTCAATATCATATTAT